GGGGGGGGGGGGGGGGGGGGGGGGGGGGGGGGGGCATCCTGTCAGTGAACCTATTCTCAGACACATTTGTGAGATACCACTGGAACACTTTTCACACTGTTGGATAGAAGGACCCCCCCACACACACACACAGCTGACCTTTGCAGGCTCTTCCTTAACATGGGGGCTGGGGGTGGATCCAAGCCACAGCCAGAGGCTGTATCCAGCCTTGCAGCTAGCGACTGACACTCCTGGATAATGTAACGCCCTCTATCAGGCTCTTAGACCTGCATAAACACTGGAAACTCACCACGGAAACAAGTACAAAAATAAAGGCCCAAAATTCACTCAGATGATCAAAACAACCACTGCCTTACACCCCAGGCATCTTAAACCTACATAAGAAAGCTTTTTTTTTTTACTTAAATCTTTCACTTAGCAACGTGATTCTGCTCCCTCACAGTCTGCCAGCAAGTTGGGAGGCTCGAGGTCTGAGGGTTAAGCAGCTTTAATACGCCAAAGTCTCCGCAGCATTTCATACCTGCGATGAGGACATCGCTTTGTCTGACAGGTGCTGGTGTGTGTGGGGGGGTGCGATCAGTAGCAGAGCAGGAGATTAGCTCATTAAACGTCACCTGAGACTCCTAGACCAGCTTTCAGGTCATGGACACACTTTCCATTCATTGGTGACCTTTGCTGGTCAGAGAGTCACCAGTGTCTCCAACGGCACAGGGCCAAAGAAAATTGAAGACATTAAGATATAAACGTCACTGACCGGAAACATAACCTTCCTAAAAACTCGGGACAACACAGGGGCACAGATACGTCTGTTAAGTTTCACATCACCTTGACCCCAAACAGGCAAAGCTTGGACTATAAATAGTATCTAGTGATTCTGACATTATGTGGATTCACTGCATGCTGTTAAATAATTCATCTGATCATTCACTGGTCCATGTTATCAAATTTACCACATCAGTTCTAGCTGTGGAATGCATAGTTATGGAAGTCTCAAAAACAAAATAAAGTTGCTAAATTCAGCTCCAGCTTATTGGAGAAGTGCATCACTGCTATGAAACCATCTTACAACACAGGTATATGAAGGATTTCTCTACATTTACACACTTTCTATGCAGCTACCTGGAGGTCAAACACAGTACCAGCATAATCTCAACATGAGATTTCAGGGCACATTTTACTTGAAAATACCTGCATTTCAAAACCCGCATTTTCCGTGACTGAGATGTTACACAACTGGTCCAGAGGTACACACCCTGTGTGTGCTCGTCTCTCACGGTGCCCGGTGATTGTGACACCGTCCCAACTTAATAAAATTGATTAAATTACAACACACAAAAAAGATGTGAAGTTTCCAAAAAATTGAAAAATAAACAATTATGATTACAGTGTGGGGAATAATCTGCACACACACAAATACACACTGATACGTAATGGAATAAGATGAGTGTGTGTACAGGAAAATGAAGACACGCTGCGTGGGTGGACCATAACGTAAGCACGTTTTCAACTCCTGCTTGCTGAAACAGATTGAGAGAACAGGTCTGTCTACCTTCCATAGACTTTGGTTAACCCCTCCACCCCTCTCTTGAGCTCACCAGAGCAACTCCCAAGTGGAGGGGGGGGAGGGGAGCGGGGTCGATGGAAAAACGTTGGTGTGTCTCCCCCCAGGAAGGGTGACCCGGGCACACAAAAACACCTCTCTTATCTGAAAGGCACGTGTGCCAGTGAAGCCAGCAAATGCTCTCTGGAAACTCACAACGACATGTCATGAGTTTCCAGCACTCCGGGTCCGATGCCAGTAACATATGACAAGCCAGCCAGTCAGAGGAAACCGGCGCGTTTACCGACAACTCCGTACTTTAGATATACCGTATCCTCATTTGAACCCTATTTATAAAATCTTGTTCCGCGCTTATGCGCAGTAAAACAACTCTTTCAAACTGAGAGCTTCCCTTAAAGTCACATTTGACCTGATGTGCGGCCATTTCCGTGGAGATAAGGACACAGGTTTAGGGGGAGGGGGGTTATGAAAGCCACGGGCCAGATTACACCTGCTGTTTCCCGTTTCCATGGTGCCACTCCAGGGACAACCCACCCCCCCAGCAAGCAAAAGGTGCGGATCTGAGCAAACGGCGTGGACATTAAAGGGGACCTCTAAACTTGCATTACACACACTTTAGTTAGCACCTGTCACGTGGCCACATGGCTTTCCTATCGGTCACCCCTTCCTTGCGTTTAATGTATTCCCCAAATGCATAAATGAAAGAATCTGATTAGTCTGCCGACTTCACTGCCAGAGAAAGTAAATCCGCTCCATTAATCGTTTTTCCGTATCCGCACAAACAGCACGGCCAAGATGTTCTTCATTATTTATAGTTACAAAGAAGGGCTTCTCGATATATATTTATATATTTTAAACAGGTCCAATGGAACAAGAGGAACTTTCCCGATTAAAAGCAAGACCCGAATGTCAAAGCACACATAAAAACAAAAGCCACAGATATCTGCTCCGGAGAAATGGTAGTGACGCTTTAAACGATGGGTTTGGAATATTGCCCTTTAGCGCGTCTGTTTGGGTAAACTAACCAGGAAGTAACATTACCTGACCCAAGCAGGTAGTTGTGCGCTGCTACTCAGTCGCGCTACTCGCCGGAGTGACGCCGCGACTCCCTTTGCGACTGAAGGCTGCTCCTATTAATCGTCATATAATTATAATGATAAATTCTGTGTATCGAGCCGTCGCGAAAGTTGACTTAGTATCTCCCACTGTTACTTCCTCATACACGCCTCGATAAACAAACTTGACAGCGGCACTAAGTGCGTTTCGTGAAGCGCCTCAAACAGCCGAATAAAGTGCGGAGTCCTGAATATGTCGGATCAAACAGGTGCCCCGCGGCCGTGTGATCGCCGCTGGTATATTATTATTATTATTAACTATGTATTTATTTTCCTTTTTTGGTTTTGTTTCGCTCACCTTGGTGTAATACAACATCCACAGTTCGTAAAGCCGGTCCTTGGAAGCCATCCTCTGCCGGCGATCCAGTTAAAACATTCGGCTCCCGGTTCAGTCCAGCGTCGTCGCGTCGGTCCCCGCGAAGGGTGCAACCGGCCGTTCGCTCCGGGGTGCTCGGCTATCCACCTACAGCTAGCCGTTGCATGATCTTCCGTGCGCTCGTCCAGCCTTTCAGTCAGCTAGCGCCCCCGAAGTCATCGGATAAGTGCTGGTGGATGACATTTAAAAAGACGCACTAAAAGTGGCGTTCGTGTTGAGTGCGATCGCACGAAGCAGGGAAGCGCTGGATATCAAAAATAGTAAATATTAACATGTAGGCGTGCTGAATAAACACCAGCAAAGATGTAAGACAACAGTGACAAGCCCGACTGCAAGTACACGCACAGGTTGGTATAAAACAGCCCCCATGCGGTATCCGCCCTCTTGCTTCGCAGATCTAATGATTGGCAAGGGTTCCTATCCAGAGTGCCAGCAGCTCTTTAAAAACAGAAAGAAACAATGACAGATTAGTCGTCACTTGTACACTTGTAAAGAAGTGAGGAATTCACCTCCGGTCGACTTGCTCTGACTCCACCACGAACTGCGTAGATTATAGACGGACAGGTAAAGGACTTAAAGGCGCAGTGGCGTCTATTAAAAGGCTACGGTTACTGATGCACCCAGACTAACTCCTGTACTGCGTTAATTTACGACTCGAGGTTATACGCGACAGACGCCTTTTTAAGCTGGTCGACCTTCAGAAGCACGCCGCCATATGTGGGAAGTTCACTTACACCAACAACAATGTTAGGAAACCACGAACCTGTAAATGACAAGCAGGTGGAACGTGAATGTGTGGGAAACGTAAAGGTTTGTTATGTGATGAAAATGAACGAAATGCTTTTCAAGCAACTGCAGAGTTTCCAGGTGAGATTGGTAAGCATCTACTCATGGCTTTTTAGAATAAGTTAAACCAGAAGTTTGCGTCTGCGGTCTATTTTATTGTCTAGAAACCCCGTTTACTACACAATGGTGTTACCTTCCCCACATTTTAGAATGTGGATCATAACGCACAACATAATCTACCTTTAAAATTATTTTATGACCATCGCACCTTTTGCAGTTTCAGCTACATTTGACGAATAAAAATCAGAATCGGCTTATTCGCCAAATGCACTAAGGAATTAGACTTGGTGAGACAGCGCAGTGGAAATTGAGAAAAAGAATTAAAGGTTAAAAACAGGTCATTAAAAAGTTCATGTTTTCTGTCAGTAATGTTATGTTATGCTTTAAATACGTTTTTATGTCTAGTGGGTGAAACGCACCTGGTCAGGATGCCAACCACACAGCCTTGGAACTTTACCTACTGCGGGAAGAGGTACATTCATCCAGACTCCGCTTCATGCCCACAGCTTGCATGGCGGTAACGACCCCCTGCAGATTAGCCAGAGCAGTGCTGAAGTCGGCAGTGTCTATCAGCAGGTCATCCAAGTAAATCACACAGCAGCTGCTTAGTGTACCCACGCAATTTCAGGGCCAGAAAATAAAAATCCAGACCATGATTTACTTTCAACCAACCAGTTGAGCATAAAGAGTCACAGAGTACTCAACTGGTTGATTGAAAGTAAATCATGGTCTGGATTTTTACTTTCTGGACCTGAAATTGCCACCTCTGCTGACAAACACGCGCTCTGTCACTGCACAGCCTACACCTTGGCTTCCAAAGTGAGCATCACCTGCTAATAGCCACTGGGGAGGTCAAGGGAACCCAGCAAGCCCAGCAATGACCCCAGAGGCATCATTCATGCAAAGCAGGGCGTAGGAACCAGTCTGGGTGATGGTATTGAGCTGACAGTTATCGACACAAGGCTGCTGTCGTCACCTGCAGCTCCTGTCTCCCTATTTTGTTGTTCTTCTGTCTGCCTCTGTAAAATATCTACAGTGTTGGGGTCGGCCTCTCCTGTCACTGACTGCAGTTCCTCTCCACCCCTCTGGTGTCTGTCTCTGTCCAAGTACAGCTCCACCTCACTGACGGAGAAGGTGAATAAGCGACGAGAAAAGCAGTGGTCCTCAGAGCTGCTTAAACATTGAGGCTGATGTCGGCAAACCAAGCCTTAGTCGGCTCCCAATACTACAATTCATATAGTGGGTTACGTGTAGAATACCGACTCAATTACCATATATGCTTTTTATATAGAAATAATTTTAATTCACAAGCCGTATGTATGCAGTGGGTAAATGCTACATGATAAATTTTGCAAAGGTTAGGCCTATACCTCAAACTAACCATTGTAATTCACTACTAATGAAACTCAAGCATTTCAACTTTTTCTGTGACTTTAAATGTATGTTACAAATTGCCTGGGTCATGTGACCCCTGAGTTTATGTAGCAGGCAGTCAACCACATTCTGTGTGATTCTGATCAGTGCTGCTTTGCATTGAGGTGTGCAGTTGTGATATTTGTGAGTAAAATAACTCAAACATCTTCTGAGGATAAACATGTAAAGAACAACTAGTCTTCACAATGTACTAGTAAAGATAGCAACACCTCTAGCCAGTATTCATCACCCTGGTGCAGTGCTGGTGGACAATTTTACAAATAAATATATATAATATTCTTGACGTATTGAAGTATTCAGGGATGCTTTAAATTCTTTACACTTGGTAACAGTTTCCTGTAATTGGCACTAGGGCTTGACTGGAAGGACAGCTCCAGGATGAGGAACACAAAAAACAGACTCAGGCAGAGACAACTAGAAGACCAGGAAATGGGAAGTTGGTCTCATTACTCACAGCTCTGTTTAATGAGACTGAGAGCTAACTATCAGCAGCTCAGAGCAAGATCACAGAGCAGGCTCGATTTCCTGAGTACCAATCAGGAACAGGTATGACAATAATGGTACTGGTAGTATTCTTGGAAACACAGTCTCAGAAAAAACAGTACCAGTTTGTACCTTTGCTTGTCATAGTGGCTGTACCCTCAAGGGTCTGCCAATGGTACCCTTTGCTGTAGGTAATTGTACCTTTTAATGTACAAAAATGGACTCTGAGGAACATCCCCAAGGAAAGAACAACAATTATGTACCCCCGATGGTACAAAAATGTTCCTCAGAGTCCATTTCTGTACATTAAAAGGTACAATTACCTACAGCTAAGGCTACAATTAGCAGACCCCTGAGGGTACAGCCACCATGACAAGCAAAGGTACAAATTGGTAGTCTTTTTTTTTCTGAAAGTGTAGGAACTGTTGGTATGCACCTTATTTGAACTTTCCTTTAGTTTTCTTCACCAGATCTTTTGTGATATTAAATAACCAAATCATGTTTTTTTTTATTCATTTGTTTCATAGTATATTTAAGGTCTCCTATCATCCACATAGTGCATTAGTGCTACTGCGTAGGCTTCAGCAATCAGATGATAAGGGTGACCCCAGCTCTGCCCAAGTCCTGCTTCAGTTTATATAGTAAATCAATAAAAGCCAAGCTCTCCTGGTGCTTCACCCAGTAGGAGCAGTGCTTCATCCCTGGGTGGCTTTCTAGCTCCTACTGTGACTGCGGACCAAGTCATACCAAAGCGGGGCTGTTGATGTTCTGGCACAAGGTGGCGACTTGCCAACCATGACGGATGAGTCAATTTCCGGTTGACCTCAGCTCCTTCTCGGCAGGGAGAATAGCAGGAACACACACCTTGTGTTTTATGGTCAGCCAAGTCTGATAAAAAGGCGGGAAAGTATTACATTGTGAAACCAGGAAAAGGAATATAAACACAGGCTAGAGGCCAGAGCAAAGTGCCTCCTACGCTGGGCGTCGGGAGGGAACCCCTGACATTTTTGGGGAGTCCCAGTAACCAGTCTGTGGTGGCTGAACCCCTCGCGCTGTCATCGCTCTCCAGCGGCGTATGCTGTCAGCTGAGTGGCCGGGGGAGGGGGGGGGCATTGCCCTGGTTTGTCACTGCAGTTTGATACAGCTAACATAGTGAAGTAGGAAAGGCAGGAAGGCACTGGGAGCTTAACTTCACTCCTCCCTGTTTGATGTGCATACCAGTCATTTGGGAGGAGATTTATGAAAAATGGGGTAATAGGCTATTCCTAATAGGGAGAAAATAGGGGTTTATTTTTAGTGCATACAAAAAAAAATGGGATTGTTCCCCAGCAACATATCTGTTTTCAAAACATACCATTACAATAGCATCCCGATCCAACAAACACTCTGAACATGTTTTTAGGGTATAAAAATCTACTTCTATGAAGAAGAAGAAGAAGAAGAAGAAGAAGAAGAAGAAGAAGAAGACGACTGAACAAAATCTGCACCCTTAGGTATCTCCCACTTTGCAGAAAGCAGCCTAATTATGTGAAGCACAAGCTACCTCAGCACCAATTTTGGATCCTTACCCTGGCTGCTTCTCATGCTTTCGATTATCAGGACCCCTGTGTGAGCCTGTCTCATTTCAGCACATTTGTCAATGGGATGAGGTATAGAAAGGACCTCCTTGCTGTAGTATTGCCATGGTGATGTCCTACATTCCGCACTGGGCATGGCTGCGTACTCTGTGGAGCTCTGTTCTCCTGATTGGGTCTCTGCATCTTTTCTACGGGGGCGGGAGTGTGAGCGTCTGTGTGTGTCAGTAGCTTTTTATTTATTTATTTATTTTTTTTTTTGCTCGCAATTCGCATCCACAGGTGTTCATTTGCAGTCATATGCTGAAACCAACAGCGTACATGGGTGTGCTTGAATGGAAACAGTGGTAGGCTACTTCAAAATGGGATTCTTAGGTGATTAAACTGTAAAAACGTGAGCTCATCTTTCGAGTTGCACAGGAAATGTTTAATCACCACCATTGTCAGAATGAGATCATTTGCAACAAGTGATTTATGCAGCAACATGGAGGAAGTCTCGTATTTACAGCTCATAGTAATGATCCATGTACGGAAGAATGTTTGCCTTGGGATCAATAAGGTTTATCTAATTTCATACTTTGTGTAGTATACAGTACAACTTCGTTTACTTCAGATTTCGAGACTATACGCACATGTGTGGTTAAACAATACTCACCACTGAGGTTGAATTCTACATAATCATGAAAGTTGCCACATTGATTGATAGTGTGGTAATAACAGAGGAATTAACATCTACATAACGTGTGCTGCTGCTGACCCGTACACATGTAGTAATAAGCAAGGATGTAGATTCGTTTATGGCCGGTATTCACCTCTCCCGACCAATACTGTGGGAGCAGATGTAATTTAAAATACTTTAATATGCAGATGGATTAGGGTATGATATAATGTAGAAACATGAAAATGAAGCAATCGCTTTACAATTGTACTGACCTAACTCCTTCTAAGCGAATTAACAAGTGGATCAGGTTATAAGATATTATATTCTCTTCAATTTTCGGAATGTCATTTGTAGAATAGGCTAACATAGTATTCAAATAATCATGGTGAAGTCAGCTCGGTTCACAGCTCCGCTTTCACAAGTGCAGTCAAATCGACCTACTCGGCTCTCTTTTGCTTCTGCCTGTATCGACTATCTGGCCTTCATCTTCGTCAGCGGCGCGGCCAGACTGTAGTCATGGAGCCGGTGGTTGGTGCGCTTCAGGAGCAGGCTTTGAAAAGGAAAGAAAGATTAAAGGCACTCAGATCCAGACAGCTACAAGTGAGTTTCCAATAACAGTTTTTCGTTAAATGGCGAGTTTAAAGAGAGGAAGTTGTGAGGTCTGTGAAGAGCTGTAGTACGGTTTACAAGGGCTGCGGCCTAAGCTGAAGCATGCTTCCTGCTGCTAGCCAGCTTGTGCTGATTTGCACTAGTTACACAACAAAAATCCCGCCCTAACTTGTTTGTGCCTATTAATAGATTTCCGATATATATGTAAGAATAATACATGCACAACAGCTTAGTTATTCACGTAGTCCTGGTGTGGTTTGTTTTTTTATACAAATGAATTCTGGCGATATTGCTCGTGTTCTGTCCCCGTTTGTCTGTAAAATGAAGTTTTGATAGCTTGGAAAGAGAGCCTGTTAACTTATTAGGGAGCTAGTTTACCCATGTTATTGTGCTAAACGCCGCAATATAAAGTTTTCACCACCATTCAGTAGGCATGGGCGTCGCTAGACCCCTTTTACTGGGGCACGTTGCCCCAGTAAAATCTCACGCTCAGCTCTCGAAAAAGATATGTGTAATGGGATGGGGATGGGGGTGTGGGGGGCTTATGCCCCAATAGGGCTTTATGTCTAGCAACGCCCCTGCCGGCAGGTTTATTGTGGAACCATTCTTTAACAGTAATACATTTCCTAATTACTTTTTGTTGGTCCGTCAGTGGCGCATGCCCACACGCGCCGGCTGTCTATGCGTGACGCCGAGGAGTCGGACTCTAGGGTCGGAAAAACTGGTGCATCCTTTTTCACTAAAGGCATGCGGTAACAGGCTCATTACAATCCAGTGTGCAGGAAGAAACTTTATACCAGGACGCTGCGCATGCACTCAGGATATCTTATAGAATTAATTAAACCATTTCATATATCTAGTACATGGCTGCCTACAAGGGTTTCCCATGTTATGATACTAATACCTTTATCATTTTTATGACAAAGCAAAATCTGTGAAATGGAATTTAATCACAAAATGTATGTTTAATTTCTCCATGTTATTTGAAATGCAGTTGTGACAATATTTAAATATTTTGCATTTCTCAATTCATTCTGGAAAGTTACTGTGAGATGCCTGGCAACCAGATATTTCTGTGTGTGTGACTTAAGACATGGCTTGCTCTAGCTGAAATCTGCTTGGAGGCCAGCAGGCTACTTGTCCGCCCTCGGTAGCGTGTCGAGGTCCAGACGACTCCGCCGATGTATGTGGACCGTGTCACAGCACGAAAAACGTGCCCAAACACGAAGAGTTGAAACGGGAGAGACGTGACACGTAATGCCTTAATGTCGTCGATTTGTGCAATCTTTAGCAACTGGCCTGTGTTTCTCAGTCTGTTACCTAATAAAATTGATGTAATCGCCGACTGAGTGAACTGCACAATTGACATTACGAAACGTTTTTTTTCCTCTCAATACATTACGTTTTAACCTTTATTTGATCTTTAAAGTAAGTTAAAATTAGATTTCAGATTAATAAGTCTTAATCCTTTATTTCATAAAGTAAATTTAATTGATAAAAACACAAGCAATGATTTTCTTTTTGAAGAAGGCACATGGCTGTCTGCTATCCCCAAAGCCTTGGGCTCCTTCACGTCATTGCGCTTGTACGCGTCCTTAAGCACCCGTGTAATTCGCCGTAGCTTTCGTTGACACCATATACACGTTGCACCTGTATTTAGCGGCAGGAGCAGTGTGTTCTGGCTCCTGTGCTCTGGGCCATTTCCTGCATCGGCGTCCAGCTGCAGCGGGCGGTTGCTGCAGTGCCAGTTAGACCTGCTGCGGCGGATTTGTTTGCCTTCCAGTCAGCGTCGGCTGAAATGCGCCCGGATAAGTCCCAGGGCAGGTGTCATGTTCGGCACCGTGTTTTACATGACTCGGCTCTCCGCGGGGCCTTCCTACAGCCTGCGGTGTTCTCAGCGCGGAGCGCTCGCGGTTCGCCTTAAGTGTGCCTCCCCGTCTGCTAGCTGAAAGCTCTGCTTAACTAAATCTGCGTCAGCCTCAGAGCCTAACAGATATACTTTTGTATGATGTTTGAGTCGTTCACCTTGAAGGATGTAAATACTGTTATCGGTCGGTGCCAGGAGGAAAAACGCGCTGGAAAGGGACGTTCAGAAAGCATTTCACCTGTAGCCCTCAACCATTTTTGTTTTGATTGATGGCAGATGCTGTTACTGAGGTAATGAGTCTGAAAGGGAATGGCATTGTTTGGCTATTCTCAGCACTTGCACTGAACTGCAAGCATGCGCGCGGTCGCGAGGTTTCGCGTTAGTTGCTATGACGATCGTAGCGCGCGGTCAGTGAACGGACAGCAGCGGCAGGGATGTGCAGGAATCGGACAGTGTGCAGATCCAGATGAGGTTTCTGTTTACTGCAGATCCACACGTTACCTCCTGTTTCTAATCCCACAGGGGAATGTTCCAGAAGATGGGGAGCCGGACAGGAAGAGAGTGCTGGAAGAGGAGGAGGGTGTGGAAGAGAGACACAGGTGTGCCAACAGCACTCCCATATGTGTACTGAAACACACAAATGGCAGAGAAATTAATTAGGTTTACAGTTAATTTGATAATCTGATGCCTAATGCATATGTAGGCACAGCTGTATGTGTGGTATCAGTGGTGAATTTTGACGAACTTGCCTTGCCACTGTAGCAGAGTGACATTCTTTTGTTTTCCACAGAATAACAAAAAAGTCTGTCTGTGGGCCAGATTTAATAATGAATTAAAATCATATTGTAGTCCAATGCAATTATCTTCATTATTTTACTAGTTATATCTTTAGCTCTGGTGCTGCTAACTTTGAATATTGATAGATTCAGAGTATCTAATTTTAAGACAAGATTCACTCATCAGACTGTTGCCAATATCTTGATTTTTAACGAATATCAGCTAATATATTGTGCATCTCTAGGACCTGTAGTGTGGAGTGTTTGGTTTGTGGTTCAGCAAAAATCAGTAGGTAGATGGGCAAAAGAATGAGGACTCTTCAAATCTCCATGTCATTGATGTTCTGGACTTCATGAAAACGTTCAAATTTTTTTTTAAACTTCCTTTGGGTTTATATTTAGATTTCCTGTGATTTTTATAAAATAGGGGTACTTTTTCCTAAGCTTTCGTCTGTTTTTAGTTTAAATTGTTATATTCATATATATATAACCTGTGAAGGTTTTTGGTTCTATAAAAGGTGATTAATGTATGAAGGTAAAATAAGAGGAGGACTGATGGTGGGGGCTGTTGTCTGCGCCGCTCGGAACAGGAAAGTCGTCTCTCCTTGTCCTCAAAGTGCTCGCTTCATTGACTTGTGAGCCCTATCTCCCCCCCACCCCCAGTACCCAGTGCTAAGCAGAACAGGGGAGTGAATTTTTACCCATGAATCAGAGACGGAGATTTATACCTACACAGCCCTGGCTCTGGTTCCCAGTTAAGAAGCTTCATTACATATAGACCTTAATCCCTCTGTTTACCAAAAACATCGTCACTCCCTAGAAAGCCTCTATCCTGTTCTTATAATCTTCCATTAGACAGCTTTAATGTAAGGCGTGTTGCCTGTGTGTTAATGCAGATCATTGCCCGCACACCAGCTCCTGGATACTCCCTTTGTGTAAGCAGGGTGGACACTTGCACTCTTTATTGGTATTATGTGACCGGTTATCCGGGAATGTGCTGCCCCCTGCTGGTGTCTCACAGTACTATATAGCAGAGCCACCTGGTGGTTCACTGTGCTTGAGTCTGTGGTCGTGTTTTTTCCTGTTATTTTAATGTTGTCTCCTGTGTTTATAGAGAACTAAGACTGAGAAATTACACCCCAGAGGATGAGGAACTGAAGGAGAGGCAGGTCCCCAAGGCCAAACCTGCGTCTGGTGAGGACTCTGAATAAATCCCGGCTATTACACTAGTCGTGTTGTCATGGGGTTGTCAGATTGAATCCCGCAGTGGTCCTGTGAGTTTTGTGCCTTACGTCCTACCCTTCCCAGGGAAGGAGTAATGAGGAACGTTAAGACCTGTCTAGACGTCGTACATCACGCTGGGTTTTAACCGAGGGTGTGATTGTTGTTTCCTTCTACACCAGTGGAGGAGAAGGTTAAGGAGCAGCTGGATGCCGCGACCCCCAAGCCAGTCATTGAGGAAGTGGTGAGTGGGGTGTGCTGGGGGTTGCATGTTGACAGTGGCAGGGAGGGAACATGAGTGTTTGTGTCAATAGTCACACGCTGTTCTTTGTTTCGGCTTTTACTGCAGGACTTGGTCAACCTAGCTCCCAGGAAGCCTGACTGGTAAGGACTAGTAGTAGTAAATAATAATTCCTGCTGTTAGCATTTGTTTTATCCTCTGTTATTGATTTCATTACCGGCCCTAATTACGGTGAGACTTAAATCCGGCCATGACGCACTGTGTCCTGTCACTTCACGTGCAGGGATCTGAAGAGAGATGTGGCCAAGAAACTGGAGAAGCTGGAGAAGAGGACGCAGAAGGCCATTGCTGAGCTGATCCGTGAGTCAGGCCCGGGAAGGCTTCCCGTGTTGGGGGCAGAGCCCACGAGGCCCCAGGGTCAGGTTTAGAATCCCCAGCAGCCAGGATGTGCTGCTCCTTAGTGCGTGATCAGAGAGAGCCGCGTGCTTTTCCAGGCTAATTGCTCTGTGGGTGACGGGAAGACCGGAGGGGTTTAAAGGCACTCTGAGATGACATCATGGTGGTTCTTCAGCCAGACGTGTGCAGAAACGTGCCACTCATGAGAGCATTTCGGCAGGATGCAAAACAAACCTCATTCTAGGTTTTGAGAAGACATTCAGCATTGGAGTTTTGCGCCAGCAGCTGGTGGTATCTGGTGGAAGTGGGAGGGAGAGGTCTGCTCCGGGGGCTCCTTCTTCTCAAATTAATGTCCCTTCTGATGCCCGTGGGCCTCTATCAGCCCTCTGTCGCAGGCCGGAGATGTGAGCAGGCTGTAACTTGTTAGGCAATTTCTGTGAATGGAAGGCTAAAAATGATACTGTATTTTGTGCTATATATCTGCAAAATGTCAGCTGTACAGCTGTAGTGTTTTAGACTTTAGTTCATAACGATTATGGATGTTGTAACACACCATTATCTCCTTGGGAATTAAAGTAATTAGCACAGTGACTATTGCATAGGCCAGGCTACATTGAGTCTGTTGGGTTAGCATTAGCCACCGGATGTTTGTTTGTGTAAGTCTGCCGGTGCTGTGTTCCTTCAGGGGAACGTCTGAAGGGCAGCGAGGAGGAGCTGGCCGGCGCCGTCGGAGCCGTGAAGGAAGGAGAAGGGGATTCGGACTGAGGCCCAGCACCTGGTCGAGGGGCCCACTGGGAGCTGACTCTAAAGCCACCCCCCTGCCGTCGTGCTTGGATGTCTGGGTGTTTTGTATGGAGGCCTAGTGCCATCAGCAGCCTAAGCTGTGAACTACCAGCCCTCTGTGCTGGAGGCCGGACAGAGAGAAGGTGTTTGACTTCAGCGTGATACTGGAGTCGTTGTTAACCCCTCAGAGCTGTTTTTTGTATTATATATAAAAATAACCTGTTCAGAGGTGAATCTGTTTGAATTTTGTACATATTTTTCAAGTAAACATTTTGAATTTTCAAAATTTCTATCTTATAGATGCAAGTATTTTTCTTAGTTCCGTACTATACACAACTGAAACAGCCAACTGTGTACATTTTTGTTTTTACTGGTTTATTGCTCTCTACATCGTTGGCACATTGGTCACATAGCTGACACTTTCATTTGACACTCATTTAACTTTTTGAAAAGGTGATAATTTGAGTTCAGCATCTTTGATTATGTGTGGATGTCCCTTTGGTTCCGCTTCACCCCTTGCAGTAGCCAGAGTCCTGTTACCCAGTGCACCCTGCCACATAAACATTAAGGTGCTTCTTTCTCTTCTGCGCTGAGTTTACCTTTTGTCATAGACCTGGAGATTTAATTTGATGTCACTTAGGGCAGCGTTTCTCAACCCAGTCCTTGGGGACCCCAGGATAGTCACCATTTTTGCTCGCTCTGCTCTCAAAGCAGCTGCCCCTAATATTTGGTGTTCTTGATTGGTTTGTACTTAATTACTTGGTTCGGGTGAGCTAGGTGGAAGCAAACATGAGGACTGTTTGGGGGTCCGGAGGACTGGCTCAAGGGACGCTGACTTGGAGAGCTTGTCTCAAGTCAGGTGTGTATAGGAATATATATACTGTACATATACATTTTAAAGGGAGGCTTTATCGACTAAATAAAACTACTTTTAAATATACTCTAGAATCATTTCACCAGAATAAAACATACCAAATAATCACTGACTAACAGCAGTTGCATTTAAAAGCCCAAAAATTATTCTATATAGGATTCGGTTGAGGTTGAAAAGAATCTCATGAATGTTTTTAAAGGCTAATGCTGTACTACAGATGTAACATGATAGCTGACTAAATCTCTCCCAAGGGCTAAAAATCACATGTAAGGAATGCCAAATATACCAAGGTTCATGTTTGGCTTGTGTTGCACACCTGCTGCACCTCAAACTTCACAAAAGCAAAGAGTATTAAAATGTTACTTCCTAAGCAGACGTTTCTTCTATATGATGCTATTACATTTCAGAACCTCCACTGCTATTCTCTTGTACCTCACTGCTAGAGGCTGGCCCCCTTCACAATAGCAAGAGAGCGATAACTGCTGTAAGACAGGGCAGTCTGCTGTGACTGTTTTAAGTGGGGATCAGCCAACCCTGCCCTGGTTTCCTGTAAATGCAGTAAAACCAAGAATGTTCACTGTTAGGGGGTCTGGGTGCACAGCAGGCCAGTGTGATGCAGCTTGTTTTGGCACTGAGGCTGCAGCATTGAAGTTCTTCGCATGCAAGTCGGCTGAGGAGCAGCCATTTCTGAAAGCCAAGACGTGCAAGAACCCAGATGTTCGGCACTCACAGCGCCCCCTGCTGACCAGTGTTAAAAGGAGGTTTCTTATTCTACTTAACATGAGTATCTGCTTTTAGGCTGCAGGTTTGTGAAGCTGTTTGGTGTTGTCCTCTTCCCCATTTGGCCGCCCTCATTGTTCTGAGCCAAGGTTTCGGTTCCCGATAGAGCGCTTCTGTCCCTGCATCTGCTGGAGAACCACTGATGATGACGGAAGGCCTCCGCAGGCCATCCATCTAGGAGTCGGTGGATCGGCTCAGTCAGTATTGAGGTTTTTAGGTCTGCTTTCAAGGCCTAGCAGTTGTTGTCCTCCAAGACAGTTGGTAGCCCTGGTCGATTCAGGAGCACTGTTCGCACAGGGCTGTCCTGTCGATCTTCTGTGTGGCGGGTCCCAGCTCCACCTTACACACCCGCTGGGCAAACTTAAGCGAACACATAGTCTCCCCCACATTCCTCTCCAGGGCAGAAATCTGAAGCACAAACAGTATTCCAGAGGTCAATTGATCAGTCCATTTAAATTCAATTACCAGTATGAAGTACAAAATCAGGTTTGTGCTAAACTCTTAATGACAGGTTTTCCAATAAGGTCAGAGAAATGGGGAACAAAACGATACAGATACTCCTCAATTTACAATGGGGTTACATTCCGATGAACCTATAAGTTAAGTCAAATATGAATGATTACTAAATGAAGCATTAATTAAGGCCATTACAGACTCGCCACCTTCATGCTGGGCAATAATCTTAAATTTCATCCCAAAGTAATTGTTTTCCTATTTATCTACTCAGCAGAAGCAAGTAACACACTTAAGCGTTTCGTAGACATTTGGGCTTGGGAAAATTTGGTTAAACAGAGAAAAAAAAAATCCACACAATATGTTGTTAATCACTGTATGAGATGTTTGTGCTCGTGATTGCTGCTGTCTGCAAGTCTGGCTGCATGGATGCTGGCATCTGCTGGCATCGGTAGAAAGTGCAGACGCTCCTCTGCTTACAAACTTTCAATTTATGAACTTTCAGACATACGAACGAAAAGGACTGTAAGTCCAAACTGTGTTCCTTGGGCTCCCGTTTCCTGTGCAAAACATCAGTTTTTTTTTCTGCACGCCAATTCCGCCTAGTAAGACTTCTAGCCGCTACTCCCGCCGCGCAGCAGCGTAGCGTACGTACTCCCAGCATCCTAGTTCTTTGTACTTGTGAATGCACTTAAAATGATGTTGAATAACAACTTGCGAACATTTCAGGTTATGAATGGCCATTCGGAACGTAACTCTTTCGTAAGTACAGGAGCGTCTGTATAGTACTGCATGTGACTAAACTAGGAACAGATCAAAATTCACTACTGAATATGCATCACTATCACACCATCGTAAAATGAGAAGCATCTGTGCACGCTTGTAGTGAAAACTGAAAATCACTGCAAAGAAAGGTAGTGGAGTAACACTGGCAAACACTGCGCAGACTGTCTACCTGTACCACCATGGCTGTTTTGTTGCCCTTGCCTGTACCACCATGGCTGTTTTGTTGCCCTTACCTGTACCACCATGGCTGTTTTGTTGCCCTTACCTGTACCACCATGGCTGTTTTGTTGCCCTTGCCCAGGGAATCCTGCAGCAGGTAGGTGAGTCTGGAGTTCCTGAATGGCACGTGTGTCTGGCGGCCCCTCAGTGCCTGGATCACATCTCCCAGCGCCAGCAGGGAGCGGTTGATGTTCTGGGCTTCCTTGAGGCGTTCGCCCTCTGCTCCGGACTTCCACACCCGCTCTGAACCAGCCAGGTCCACCAGGTTCAGCTTGCCTGCATGGTTGTGTTTGTGGTGGACATTATGGCACGGTGTTCACAGAGGGCAGTGGTGGGGTAATGATCAGGGAAGTGCACTTGTAATTGAAAGATTGCAGGTTCAAATCCCTGACCAATGCAGAGAACACATTTCGTTGTGGTGTGTCAACAATGACAATTAATCACTAAATTCTAAATATGTTCCGAAAATACCATGAGTTTCCCACTATTATACTCTACATCAGTGTTTCCCAATCCAGTCCTTGGGGACCCAAAGACAGGCCAGATTTAAATGCAGACTGTCTGGCAGGGATCTCGGAGGGAGCAAAAACATAGACTGTCTGGCAGGGATCTCGGCGGGAGCAAAAACATGGACTGTCTGGCAGGGATCTCGGAGGGAGCAAAAACATGGACTGTCTGGCAGGGAGCTCGGAGGGAGCAAAAACATGGACTGTCTGGCAGGGATCTCGGAGGGAGCAAAAACATGGACTGTCTGGCAGGAAGCTCGGAGGGAGCAAAAAGACCAACTGTGGGTCCCCGAGGACCGGGTTGGGAAGCGTGCACATGTTAATGCTATGCATACATTTCAGTCTGCATGTTCTCCCCCTGCAGTCTAAACACATGCAGTTAGGCTAATGGCGTCTCTAAATCGCCCACAGAGTATTATGGAGTGGGTGTTTCAGCCATGTGATGGACTGTTATCCTGTACATTTATTTATTTAGAAGACACTTTTGTACAAGGAACTGGCAAACTTCTGCTCACAGACACCACCTACCTAGCCACACAACACCAGACCTTGTGCTCTATGCTGCCTTGCCGAGGTGGATAGTTCAGGTCCAGAAAATTAAAATCCAGACCATGATTTTGTTTCAACCAACTAGTTGAGTATAAAGAGTTAGTCACAGAGTACTCAACTGGTTGGTTGAATCAAAATCTTGGTCTGGATTTTTACTTTCTAGACTTAAACTGTCCACCTCTGCTGCCTTGAATGAGTTCCAGGCCGCCATGATGCTGTCCAGGATTAGTGATTAGAAGATAGGTGGATGGATGGAGAACACTAGTGCTTGCAAGGGCAACTTGGAGAAACACAGCTATATGTCGTTTTCAGTTTAATGACTTTTTCCATGACTTTCTCATCAGTGTAATTGCACTGTTACATTCTAAAGCAAATGCAGTTCATTCAATGCTTCAATCACTAGGCACAATGCTAGTGTCTCACCGCATGTTTTGGCCCCACTGATGAGGTCTGTTCCCAGCACAGTGATGGTCAGCAAGGCGTGGGAGCGAGAGCTGTTGTGGTTCATCTGGGTCCCAAAAGTTATCCGGTTCCGCTTTGCCATGGCCAGAATCTGCACAGAACATGAATCGAGTACAGCCATTTGAGGAAGCAATGAAACACAATAAGAATTAGCGTAACACTTTTAACAGCACTAGGTCAAAAGTATGCCATTTTTTACAACTTATAAATGGAACAAAAGAGCACTTTGCACTTTAATGTGAAAATATGTTTTAATTTAACAAAAGATTCAACTTTATAGAAGGATTGTGATTAGCGACTAGTCTTCCTTAACGTAAGTCCAATTGTTGAGTACCCCACCTTCTTAATGTGCTTGAAGTTCTTAACCTCAATAACCCTAAGACCAGGGACATGGAGCTGGCCAGTGCCATCTGGGTTCATCTTGATGTCCAGCTTCTCTCCATCTTTACTGAGCAGATCCCTGCAGACCACATGAAGAAGTGCACAAAAACACCTTCAGATAGCTGACCAACAGGATTAAGCAATACAGTGATCCCCTGCCTATCGCGGAAGTGACGTTCCAGACCCATCAGCGATACGCGAAAATCCACGATATAGAAAGACCATATAAACAGACATTTTTAATATAATTTAAGTCTTAAACTACCCCTCCCACATGCTTTAAAAGCAATAGGTGAAAATCCGCGATATAGAAAGACCATATAAATAAATTTTATAGTTTAAGCCTTAAAATACCCGTCCCACACACTTTAAACACATGTAAACTTTTTAAAACACACTTTAGAAACACATATGATATGTGGATGTCGGGCTAAGAATATGAGTAACATAATTCACAAAAAGTTTGCTCACAACAATCGGACCACAAGCAAGGTACAGAGAACTGTGATGCGTCGGGGAAAAATCTGCGATATAGCGGGGGCGCGATAGCTGAACCGCGATATAGCGGGGGCGCGATAGCTGAAGCGCGATATAGCGGGGGCGCGATAGCTGAAG